TCAAACATGTTATATAAAGTGCTGAAAAATGACACCACACTTGGTGTCTCGACCAATCCATATCCTCTTCCTAAGAGAAGTAATAATCAGTAACCAAAAAAATAAATACATGATACAGTAGTTTTTCATATACAATTATTCGAATCATGGGCTTTCAATATATTGTAGAGTTGTTCTAACATTATGTATACAGTATTTTATTTGTCACGTGATTGCCTTGGCATTATACAGTACAGTACTTATATAATAAAAATTATCTTTCCCCACTAATTCTAGATGTAGACACTGAAGTCAAATACCATTGCATGGTGGGTGGTGTTTACCAACAGGATAGTAAACTGTACACTGTTGCTGAGTAATTATGTATTCTACAAATGTAGCTGTCTTTTTTGTTGTAGTAAAATACTGGTACAGTGTTACAAAACCCTTTAATAACTCTAACAGTAATGCCTGAAACTTTGATTTTTTTTGTAATGTCTAATATGGCAGTTTACACAAGAGAGAAAAACCCCACTTATATACAGTACAGTGATCCCTCGGTTAACGAAATTTCGATTAACGAATTACCTTCCATAAGAATATTCAATTTGGTTAACGAAACAAGTTCGGTTAACGAATTCCTTACGAATTTTTCCCAACATGTTTTCGCCTGCTCACCAGCTGTAGTATTAGTCCGCCAATACAGTAATCGGTTTTAGGGCTTAAACTCGTTACCATTTGAGTAAATATCAAGAAGGTTGTACTATTCAATAATTTTCCAAGTCTTACATTAAATTTTTTTAGTCATTTTAAGAATTATTTCACATAAATGACGTACAGGGAACTAATTTTTAGCGCGCCAAACAGCCACTTGACTCACCCAGAATGGCGTCAGTTTGTGTCTCTGCTCAGTGGAGGAAGCATCTTGCTTGACTCTCTCTTAAACATACTGACAATATATAGTGCAATGCAGTGTTGATTTAAAGAAAATAATCTTGAATTACACCAAGTGAACTTAAAATTTTATGGGTGAAATGGCGACATGAAGCATGGGGTGATTTCTCTTCCACCCCACTGCCTTCTCTTCTCCCTTCTCCTCCACCCCCATTCTAATTCCCATCATCATCATCAACCAGGAGCCTTCTACATGCACACCTCAAAGTACCTAAGTGTACTTTACTGCATTTATTTTTAGTTTGTATGTAATTTTCAGTGAGCTGGAACCAATTACCCAAAATCCCATTGAAACAATGGTTTCTGTTAACAAACGACCTTCTGGAACGAATTGTGTTCGTTAACCTAGGGACCACTGTAGTTGGTGGCCAAAGCTATAAAATATTGTGCTTTCATGCCATTATGGTTTTCTCCATTTTATATACTGTACTGTTATCACAATAAAGAGCATCAGAAGAAAGAAAAACACAGGTGAACATGGGCATAGATCCTGGGGGGATGCACCCCCCTACAAGTGAGTTGTAGGATCATCCCCCAGTACAATTCATGTACTGTACTGTTCAGTAATTCATTAAAAATATTATCGAAATCTACAAAATTTTGAAAAACAAACAAAAAACTTATTTGAATAAGTTCATTTCCTGTTTAAGAATCATTCTATGTAAGAGGGAAGTCTGAGGTCAACATTCAGTATTAGTTTTAGATTTAACCCCGAGTGATGTTAGCTACTAAGGTAAACCTTCTTACATGTCAGTAACACTTATCAATCAACTCAGGTCATCATCAAAGAGACCGACAAGGTCTTTCAGGCCTGACATCCCATCCCCTGACTAAGACCTAACAGTTAGGTCAAAGTAAACACTCGTCAACTCGGGTCATCCCCAATCCCCTCCACGGAGATGACAGCTAGTGACGCCGGGGCAACCTGATTTCAGTCACAAGGATTGACAAAATAATGTCAATGTTGGTGTCATGAGTCGGCTTGTCAGGTCATATATACTGTAATGGGGCAGCCCTAGCAAGTTACTTCAGTGACTTTAAATTACAAGATAAACAATCAAACTAATTCTGTAAAAACATTATGCTTTCTAAAATTATGTAAAAGATGTACAGTATTTAGTAATACAGTATACTGTACTCTGTACAGTAATTATATTCAGAGGCACATTTCTAAGTCTCGGAAGTCATCCCTCTATTCATTCACAACAAGTCTATGTCAATGCAGGTGAATATACAGTACTGTTACAATGCAGTAAACCCTCAATTTCCTTCATTAATAAGTCTCTGGAGAATACCGTGGATATCAAATCTGTAGTAACCGAAGAAAAGTGTCATATTTCAGGTCTCAAATACAAATTTGCCTCAGCCCCTTAAATTTAACAAAAGAACCACAACTACCTCTACAGTATATAATGAGGATTTTGAGCTTTCAAACTATGTGCATGATATTTTAAAAATGTGTGTTAAACTAAACAAAAATTCCATCATTTTCGGCAGAACCTACAGATAACAATACTTCTGTAGCATTTCCAATTATACTGTATTTTCCCGAGTTCATGCTAAGACACGAGAGGAAGAATACTAGGAGTCTGTCTCTGCTGTTCTGTGACCAAGAAGGTCCCAAAATAGAGGACTTATAGGTAGGAATCTGAATTAAATGATTTATGCTGTTTATAAAATGGCATTTCAATCTCAGCATCAATTTCTCATTTATATGCGACACAACAGGCAAGACAAATGAGGTATGGTCAAGCTAGTTATTACAGATGGAAGGATGGGGACATGAACTACAGGCATTAACAGGACTTGAATTTACTATTGTTATACTCTTGCAGTAATACAGTTGTACCCCGCTTTACGCGGTTTCACTTAACGCGATTTCTCATATACGCGGTGCCTCGCCAGAACCGAACTTTCACTTAACGCGGTTCATCTACCCATATACGCGCAGAGTGCCCGGCTCGAGACGCTATTTTTAGATTCGCCCCACCCGCCACCCGCTCCCGCCTGCCTCGCCTCTCCCTCCTCCTCCTCCCTCCCTCCCCTCCGCCTCCATCCCCGTATGCCGACTCATCTCTTCTACTAACATAAGTGTTAAACCTAACTTTTAGTTTTCCTAACCTAACCTTTATTTTTCCTTACTTAACCTTTATTTTTCCTAACCTAACCTCTTCTATATAACTTGTTTGTTCATACCATCATAAAGTTAAGATAAAATTTTTACTACAACATAGTTGTGTGTCGTCAAAAAGTGGAGTTTGGGGGTCGGGCAAGTCTCTATTGGAATTAATCCCATATGTTCTGTTGTTCACTTAACGCGGTTTTCACTTAATGCAGTACCCTGTGGGTTCAATTGACCGCGTAAAGCGGGGTACAACTGTATATATATATATTAAGAAGAAAACATAGAAGATTAAAGAAAATGGGAAAATACAGAAGATTGAGAGAAATAAGAAAAGATATATTGTACATGTATAATGAACTGGATAAAACGATTAAATTTAAAAATATGAAGAAAAAGTGAATAAGATTAAACAAAAATAGACTAGAAAGAGAAGTATAAGAACACAAAAAAGCACAGAAAACAGATGAATAATACTGTATACAGTACAGTAAGCCCAGATAATTCGCGGTCCTCTATTATTCGCGGATGACATCCTGGATGTACCCAAGAATGTCTGCGGGTACCGGTAGTATTAAAGTTGCCGGCATTTTCATGGCCGGGACAGGGAGCCATTCATTCTAGAGACAGTAATTTCCTTTACCTGTATTGTATATACAGGCTCTATATGTGTGTGTGTGTGTGTAGACACACACACAAAGCACATACAAATAAATAACACTGTAATGGAAACTCCTTAAACAAATAATTTGAAACAAACGTAGTATTAAAAATGTTGAGTCTACCCTCAAGTCTACTCCGTGCTTTATAAATAACAAAACACGGAGTAGACTTGAGATTTGAAGGGCCTACTGTATTGTACTAGATAAAAATTAATACAAATGATAAAAAAATATGTGAATAAGAAGAAGAAAATATGAAGTGTATTAATAATACAGGTATTACTATACAAAAAAGAAGTAAGATAATAGCAATTGTTTTAGATGTAATCAATTTTACAAGGCAAGAAGAAATTTGTTCATGGCTGGCTTCCTTGTTATAAAGTGTTCTAGCAGTAGCTAGTTAATCATCTTTAGTTAAATGGTAAGCTCATCATGAAAGTACAGAAAAATATTAATTACTGTTTCTCGTATTTCAACAATACCTTGGCATGTTTAGTTCAAAGTCTCCCCAAATTACACCACTGTGAATGTATAAATAAACCTGAGTATGGGAAGGTTTTTAAGTGAAGCATCATGTACCCTACTAGTGATGAAGCAATCTTGGAAATGGTTCTTTGATTTTTTTTTCTATTTTTTCTTCTTGAAGTAGTGTTTTTATAATTTATCTAGACATTTATCTTACCTTTCCTTAACACTGTTTGTGGTACAAGGTACAGTATTTTGACACAAATATTAAATTACCTGTAGTTGTCTTTGGCTTATAACTCCCAGTATCATCCATGGTACAGCTCCTCCCCAACTTACGACGGGGTTAGGGACCCAAATCCAGGTTGCAAGTCGAAAATGCTTAAATAATACATAGAAAATCTAAAATGGGTGTCTCTTTTTCTTCTCTGTACCACAAAACTCTCACTTTTAAACTTGCCAGCAATTTTAAAGTGAATTACAAACGAAAATTTTGTCTGTGTACTGACGTTGGGACTCGATAATACTGTACGTAATTTGACAAAATTTTGGAACGACTGAGGCAGGTCGTAAGTCGCGCAGATAAAGATTGACTCATTGATCCAAGAATTCCATTTGTTTATCTCTTTATCTTAGTTTACGTCAAGTATAGCCTTGACCCGGAAGTGATACTTAAGACAACAATTACTCTACATCATGGTATTGGTGCCTTCTGTAATGAGACAATAAACACCAACAAAATCAAACAGTATATTACTGACCGACGGTGCATACAGTAAATTGGCGACGAGGATCAAGGACATACATCTATTCACAACATGGCCACTGCTATACCAACACTACAACCTCTAGAGCTAGAGGAGACTGACCTAACACAAGCATGGACTGACTGGATAGAGCATGCTGAAGATGCCTTCATTGCATTCAACATAACTGAAGATGCCAAAAGACTAGCACTCATCAGATTCTATGGAGGAAAGAAACTGAAGGAAATCATGAAGACATTGCATCCAGCGATACCGACAGACAAAAAAGAACCAACGTACAAAACAATGAGAATAGCACTTGATGAATACTTCAGTGAGAAAACAAACAAAGTATTTGAACGACACAAGTTCCGGATGCTGGCGCAGGAGGTCGGGGAAAGTACACACAACTACGTAACCCGCCTACGTACACAAGGGGCCAAGTGCAACTTCGACAACTACAACCTTGACCAAGCCATCATCGACCAGTTGACGGAGAAATGTACTTCACATAAAATGCGTCGTGCATACCTGAAGGAGACAGACATAACAGTACAGAAAGCTCTACAAATCGCTTACACTTATGAATCAACTGAAGCCCAAGCTTGCCAGATGGAACAAGGTGAAGAAGGCACCAATGTGAACAAGGTAAACACAAGATACAAACAACAACAGCAGCAGGACTGGGAAAGCACTCGAAGACAACAAAGTAAGGACATGCCACGCAACCCAAAACTGAACTGTCTCGGGTGTAATGGTACTGGCCATCGACATGGACAGAGACAGTGTCCTGCATTTAGAAAAAATTGCAACTACTGTGGAATCGTCAACCACTTTGCCACCGCGTGCAGGAAAAAACATAACCGACAAGAGAGGGTCAGACAACTGATGGAGGACAGTTCGACGGGTAACAACGACAATCAAGTACACCAGGTATCGTCCAAGAGCACAAAAGAATCTGACGATGGCCATACCTATGTGTTCAGAGTGACATCAGACGACACTGCAGAGGAAAAGGTGATGATAGAAGACGTACCGGTCAGGATGTTGATTGACTCGGGTAAACGTCAATCTAATTGACGGGGGCACATTCGAACACATCGTCAAAATACGACCGAACATAGTACTCAAGGAAACGAATATCCAACCTAAAACGTATGGAAACATTCCCATCCCACTCCGAGGAGAGTTCTTTGCAACACTGTCAAATGGATCGAAGAGAGTCGCACACAAAATCCTGGTAACAACAGCAAAACAGGGAGGGAATATTCTGAGTAAGCGGGCCAGCTTGGATCTTGGCCTTCTCAGTATCCACCAGAATAACCGGATTACGACCAGTGAGATGTAACCATGGTGGAGCTTTTGATCCAAGAATTCCATTTGTTTATCTCTTTATCTTAGTTTACGTCAAGTATAGCCTTGACCCGGAAGTGATACTTAAGACAACAATTACTCTACATCATGGTATTGGTGCCTTCTGTAATGAGACAAAAAACACCAACAAAATCAAACAGTATATTACTGACCGACGGTGCATACAGTAAAGGGAGGAGCTGTATAGTGAAACAAGATTCAAAGAAAAAAATTAAGGCCTAAATTGGTTCATTATGGTATTGCATATAGAAATTACGAATTTGGAGACAATAGGCAATTGCAGGTTTACTGTAATAAGTTTTGATATACCTGTTCAAATGTACAGCACAGTGGTTTATGGCACGTCATCATGTCAAATTTACACAAATTTGGTGTACGCTACTCTACTAAAGAGAAATGACTAAAGGTTTATTCAATGAGGAAAGTCTGACCTATACTGTAAAAACAGTGCCAGAATGAACACTCAACATTGACAAGTGTTCTCCAAACCACAATGAAATGCTAACAGAAGTAATGGCAGACTGAACATTTGCCCACAGTTTGCCTGCAGTGGTGCTCTTTTTATTGTATGATTATAAAATGAACAAACAGAAAACAACATAGTACTGCTCAATTTTCTTAACTTAAATATTACCATAAGTTATTGAACAATGCAGAATACAATTCTAGCAGGTGAACTTAGCTATAAAATATGGTATAATCACATATGATATTGTACTGTGTAAGACTTAGTCATGACAATTCAGTACACTTGTTATTTGCTGCAATAACAACAATCCCAATTAAAAAAATAAATACAATATCTGTGAATATAGACATTCACAAAACAACTTTTAACAAAGAGCTTAATTCAAGCATTTACAAGATTACTTAATTAATATTTAGCATAGATAATTTAAAAATAAAAGAATGTTCTAAGATATGCCTGACCCTTCCTATGATTCCATCATACATACATACATACATATATATACATATATATATATATATATATATATATATATATATATATATATATATATATATATATATATATATATATATATATATATATATATATATATATATATATATATATATATATATATATATATATATATATATATATATATATATATATATATATATATATATATATATATTCCTTCTTACTGAGTTATGATATTTTGGGTTACAGGAGATACAAACTTACTATGCGAGATGCTCAATTCAATTTCTATAATAGGCAGAACAAACAGTCAATCATAGTGGGATATAAATTTGCTGTACTCAAGATGATGGTTAGTGTAGCTGTGTAACTTGTTTTCTTTACAGTACTGTACTTTATTAAAGTATATTTAAGGTGTAGTTTATATATAGCATATATCAATATATCTTTAATACATATGTACAACTTTTCTATTGTCAAATAGGGTAATCCTCTGTTAATGTACAATAATTAATTTGCTTCAATGACCTTCAAATAATTAATTTATACTGATTATGTTTGATCGCAGAAGTGAAATCTCCAATTCATGTAGATGTCAATAAGAACATATATGGTGATTGCACCATACAAACCAGGTGCTCAATTGCACACAAGCAGGTTTGGCTTGTTTATCTCCAAGCCCTAGGAAGAAGTAAGGGTGTTCCTTGTACTCCAATACCCAGCCCTCAAAAGATGCCCCTGAACTTTAGGGGTATCTTTAGGACTTAAGCAACCAATTGTCCAATGAGAGCGTATTAAATAGTATAGCCTATGATATGACTTAGGTATAGGAAGAGGTATATTTTAGTTATGAAATACATGTGAAGCAGTTTGTCAACCTTACCTTCTCTCTGAAGGCGACATAATTTTTTTTAAATCATGAAAGCAGTTCATATTGAATGACTTTTCTTTACATTTATGAGTATTTAAAACTAGCATGTAATCAGCATATGAAAGCATCTCACACTAGTGACCTAACTCCCATAAACAACTATTGTATTGCATCCAGATCATCGTCTCACTACACATAGGCTGAGATGTTCATTACCGGGTATGTCATGTTAAATGATTTTCCATAAAATTACCCAAAATTTCAGCATTGCTTTATTTAGAGAAAAAAATAATTCCTGGGTTGGTACCCAATTTTGAGCTTTAAGAATCTAAGCCTTTCTTTCCCATAATATGTTGACCCCAGTGACACTCAATTTGTTGAAGTTCAAGAAACTCTCTTACTAAACCTTAAACATTAGAGAGGGATTACTGTAATGTTGTACTGCACACACATATACATTAACTGTAATGATATTTCAAAATTATCGTATTTATAAAACCAGTAGTTTTCATTTACTATACATTTTACGTAATATCACTTTTGTATAAAATATATAATGTAATTTTATATTAAGGTTTAACAGCCAATATTCTTAAGCCTCACTAGCATGTCTCAACATCAATTATATGTCTATGTTAACTATCTGTCAATCTTATGATCCCAACTATGATGGACAGTAGAAAGTCTAGTGTTATACCTTCTTTCTGAGATTCACATCCTTCAAATGACTAAATGACATTTACTTTAGCATTGATCTATTAACAATGAAAGGGATTTGACACAGCAATAATTAAAGAGACTTTTCAATAAGAAATTGTTGACAAAATCGAAGATACCAATAAAATGTATTAATAATTTAGTTTTTGTGATTAATCTTAACTACAATAAAAAAGTATAAATTAATAACAATAGCTGTGTCCAAAAAGATATAAATTTTTACTGTACTCAAAGTTCATCCTTTGCTAATCCATTAAATTCAACCTCAAGCTCTAATCCTTTACCCTCTAGATTGGAGTCCATTGTGGGAGGAGCACTCTCAACATCCTGAATGATGGACGATTCTTCTGTGTCACTTATGTAGCCTTCTTCACCAGTGTAGTGTGTGGGGAAGACATATAATGGAGCCACTGAGTATGCATTTAAATTCCTCACAGGAAACTTCTCCATCCAATCTGTCTGTAAGCAATGATAATAATACTGTTGTTATATTTATGATAGCAGTAAAGAGTGACTGCATTGTCACAAAAGCTGTCAGTGTTAAAGATTAAATGGGATTCAGAAAGTCACAAAAACACTGATACAGGTTGTACCTCTCGAGTCCGGCAACCTCGGGACCTGACCAGTGCCAGACCATGGAAATTTCCGGACCATGGAAATTCACCCTTTTCCTGGACAGATAGTGACTTGTGCTTACGCTTGGAAGCACTAGCACCACTTTCACTGCTTCGTGGTCTGTTTGAAGACATGTTGAAGGGTTAAATGTTGTACAGTGGGTTCTCAAATTTTGCAAGTTTTTAATTAGACGTTTTTTAATTGGACAAAAAAAAACTACACAATTTAAAATTTCAACGGCGGAAACTCAAATTTCGACGGGTTTGAGAGGCCCGCCAACGTTCAGACGTGCACAATTGTGTAAACAGCATCATTTCTCTTATGTAAAAAAGATTCATTATTGTTTATTACTGATATATATGTCTTTTTGATTGAATTAATGTTTATGTGTGCAAAGAACAATACAATTCATTAATAATACGTAGAACATTAAAACACACGAGGAGATATTGTTTTCGTTAATGTTTACAAAACCAGTGACTGACTGGTTCTTCATATAAAACTGAAGAAAATAAGACCCTGGTTACAGCTGTAGTAAAATTCATGTAAAAAATTAATATGGTTGTTTTAAGTAATCTTATTTAATGTTAATAAATGGAACAATAAAAGTAGCTAACCATTAATGGTAAATAAAAAAGTGAGACTGCACGTATGTAAGTGCACACATGTGAAAACATATCGTCATTACTCTACATAAGAATATGAAAGCAACACTTATTTACTGTTCATATATATTTTAATTTATGTATCTGAAATTAAAAAAAAAAATCTACCCACCAGTGGTGGTAAAGTTGAAAACATAAGGACAACCAATGTTGTTATGTGTGTTTTTACTTGGATGACGAAGTTGCCAAGTCATCAGGTTCACCTCTAGCTGAAGCTGTAGAACATAAAAACTTTATCTGTGTTGTTTTTAGTATTTATTTAACTTTATCTGTGTTATTTTCGTTGGTGTATTAGGATGTTGCTTTATTACAGATAGTAATTCGCCAAAAAAGCAGGGTAAATAAGGCAAAAATTTAGCCAAACATCGAAAGTACCAGACTCAAATTAATTTTCTCCATGGGCAAACTAAAATCGTTCCGGACCACAGGAGTTTCCGGACCACAGAATGCCGGACTAGAGAGGTACAACCTGTACTGAAGCTTTGTCTCCTTCAAATTAAGCTTAACCTCTGCACCTCTGTGTGGGATATTGAAGCCAAATATGAAAACCCTAGCACTAGTAATTATTCCTGCAGGGAATGTCAAGACTAAAAAATAAATAAAAAGACCAGAGAATATATTGATATCTGCACCTGTAGAAATTCATTTATACGGTACATGAAAAGAAGAAAAGTAAATTTAAAAAAATGACAATCTTAGCTTATAATTTTAAATAACAATACTGCCATCATACTAATGTAATTAACATTACTGCACTGCCTGGTAATGTAATTAACAATACTGTCATCTTGTTAATAAAATTAACAATACTGCCAATTTGCTAACATAGTCTAGTACTTTTTATGGACTACAAGGTAAAGTAATTAACAATACTACCCCCTTGCTACTGTAATGAACAATACTGCCCCCTGCTACTGTAATGAACAAAACTACCCCCTTGCTACTGTAATGAACAATACTGCCCCCTGCTACTGTAATTAACAATACTGCCCCCTTGCTACTGTAATTAATGCTGCCAACTTGTTAACAAAATCAAGTACTTTTATATGAACTACCAGGTAATGTACTTACTATTCAAGTCTTAACCCCTTCAATATGGGTCACAACTTTTAATATTATATTCGCCTAATGCCAGAATACTTTAATCAGCTCAGAGAAACCCCTCATACCCAAGGGGTTAAGAAGTCTTGTTTTAATAACACTGTTTATCTTTACCTCTGGGTGTTTGTTGAACATAATAGGAATGTATTCATCAACAGGTATCAGCTGGCCAAGAGGCTGGGCATCAAGAAGTTTCTTTGCACCCTGGAGAGTAATGACATAACACAGTGTCCAGTAGGAGTAGTCCACATATACCAGTATGTCTGAATCTTCAACCTGTTAAAGATAAATATTTAAATACAGTAGATATTTTTCAGTATAATTGTCAAACAAGTTTACATTGACTGAGCATGTATTTTGACACTGTAGGTACTGCATGAAATTCAGGAAATATATATATTAGCCCTGTCTAATAGACAGTAATGTTTATATAAATATGGACTAGATACATTGTCTCTATATATTACTGTGTGTATATATATATATATATATATATATATATATATATATATATATATATATATATATATATATATATATATATATATATATATATATATATATATATATATATATATATATATATATATATATATATATATATATATGCCATCAGGTATCAATAAAGATTAAAATATGTACCTATAGTTGCCTAGCTCATACAGTACTACAGATGAGCAAGGAGTGATTTAATATAAGTTTAAAAGAATATTAGAGGACATAACTCGGTCAAGTGTTCATATCTAGAGCTAGCAGATACATGCCCCACTAGAGTTCACAGAGTTATCAACCATTTCATTAATGTATACTCTACATAATGTTAAAAATTATTACCCTGTAGGAAGTTGAATTACCGGGTTAGTATATACAAAGCATGATTAAAATAATATCATTATAATAGCCATGATATAAATAAATAATTTACCAGGCAAACATTTGACTAGTGAAGGCAATCCTTAAAACAGTATCACATAACACACACACTGTCTAACAATATTCACACATGAGAACAACAAATTACAATAGATACAACCATCAACATACCCCCAACACCTCACCTCACCTCACCAGAACTTTTTTGACTAATGAGAAACATCTGCCACCACCACCTTCCCCTAACCTAATACAGTAACTTCCCTATAGGGCAGAACTTTCCATTACCCAGAAAAAAAATTTTGAGCTTGCCATCCCAGGCATTCAAATGAATTTCCGAGAGTATGCATCATATGCCGCGCATGTGAGTGGGTAGGCTCAGACCGCACATGAGCTACAATTGGCTATTACTGCCATGTGACTGCATTGGATGCCTATGATTGGCTAATGTATCTCATAACTTATCTCCTCAAAATATATCATCATGACATTCTTTGTTCATTATCTGCTGCCAATGTACAAGCCATTTTGAAGACATGTGCTCTTGACATTAGGAGATATTCTGAGGTCAATAGTAATTACTTTTTACTATACAAAAAAGCCTGAGTAAAATACTGCATTAAAGAAAAAATACTGGAATTTTCTGATGAAAAGGGGGTCCAGACCCCCAGGATCCTTAAGAGGTTTGGTCAGGTCATTTGCAAAGGAAACCTCATTGAAGAAAAGTGTCTTTGTATTGTCAAAACATATTGACTACAAAGATAAAATTCCTAAGATTCCCGTGCTGTCAGAAAGTAAAAATTTACCCAACAACTAAATCTTATTAACATAAGCACAGCACTAAAGACATGATCATTAGATTACTTACCCATGGTTCATCCGAGTTTTTCATTTTCTTACGACCAAGATATATGAGATCCCAGTCAACCAACCTATTGGCATGGTAAATCATATGTTTTACTTTTTCTCTAAAATAAGGTTCAAAACGAATATCATCTTCAAACAGCAACACCTGTATAGAAAATAAAAGTTTATCAAGTTAATAATATTATCTATGTTTTCACAAGTTAGGTATTGTTACATTTTTAACCAAAATGCTGGGGGGGGGGGGGAATATAAAAAACTTGTGATTTCTGACAAAAAATCAATATTAAAATCTAATAAAACACATTAAAATCATCGGCAAACATTGTTCAACTCAAGAGCCATATTAGTTGAAAATGCAAATTTACTGCAAGTTAAGATTGGCTAGTATAAAAGATTAATTATAATGATATTTGGTTATAGTAAATTGAATTCACTTTCACCTTTAGTATTTATTAACAGTATTTTTAAAGAGATATCTTATTAATAACAGACACTGAATTTGAATGTAACATGAGTGACTACAGTATACTGTACTGTACTGTGGGTCCGACTAATTACCCAAATGTACCCGCAATGAAGTCAAATAATGGTCCTACATGAATAAATCGGGTTACCAATCACTTCTCGACTAGTATTTGGTGTCACAAAGTAAAAAAAAAATTGGAAAACGTAATTTAATTTTTAGTTAATAGATCGAGTGCATGTACCGAACCTAACCTCGACTAGTATTTGGTGTCACGAAGTCACAAAAAATTGGTAAACTTAATTTATCTGAGTTAATAGATCAAGTGCATGTACCTAACCTAACCCAACACAACTCAGATTAAATTAAGTTTACCAATTTTTTGTGACTTTGACACCAAATAATAATCGAGAAGTGATTCACAGCCCAATTTACGCTTGTACGACCATCACTTGACTTCATTGTGGCTACATTTGGGTACATTTGGGTAATTAGTCGGACCGCTGTATATACTGTGTTTCAACTTAGTCAATACTTTTCAGAAGAAACAACTTTATTAACATTTGAATAAATTTATACTGTATTTACAATATACCTTTTCATAGCCATTCCTGACTATATCTTCCCAGATGAAGTAATGACTAAGGAAGCAACCTATCTCCCCAAATGTCATGTCTCGTTTTGACCACGGATCTTTATAAGTTGTCATTTGCTTAACTCCAAGTTGTCGTAGATAACTATCATTTAGTTTCTTCCCATCCACTGCATCAAACGTCTTTACGTCAAGTCCCAATTCATCAAAGCAGTGTTTCATCCGCTCACGTCTCTCTGGTCTCCGAACTAAACTGATGAGATATATCTGGTCAAAGCCAGCTTTATCTTTCTTGGGTAGTGGCGGGACATACTTAGCCAGCTGTGTTGACACCGGCAATGGTTCATGCTGAACAAGAACTTCTAATTTGATACTTAGAAGCTGCTTATAATCTACTTCTAAGTGTTGGTCATCATCCAGAGGTGGGGGAATGAACCCATATATTTCTGTGTTACACACATACATGTCAACTTCTGCCTTTTTAGCAGAGATTGCTAATGTAATTATGTCATCATTTGGGCCATTGTAATCAGAGACATTCTTCGAGGTGAATGTGAGTTTATCCGATACCACTCTCGACAAATCTACCAGAACGCAAGAATGAACCATCGGAACAGCAAAGCATCCTTTCTGCTTTCGCTCTAGTATCGGGATGTAATCCTCTGAACGAGTGTACCAATAGTCTGCAGTCATTCCACCCCAATAATTGCTGTAGGTTGCAAGGGAATTTAACATTGGTCCAACTATTGCTTTATGTTCACTTATCAACAACTGAAGAATGTTACTCTTTGTCAGAAAAACATCCATATCTAGAAACCAGATATAATCAGACCAAATATGTCTTGCAAGTGACATGGCTTCTTCCTTCATTTGAATAATGTTGTTGAACCTGTCATCACTCCATTCTGTCCCTTTTGAATCACCAGGATAATGTTGAGTTAACTTGTCTAGTTTGATATCACATAAATTATATCTGTGCTTGTTATATTTCAACCAATCTTCCAATATTGCAATGGTCTTGTCAATATTATGGTCTGACCGAATATAGAGTGCCATTCTTTTTTTGGGGTATTCTAGCCGTTCGAACAGTGTCAAGAAATGTGGAAGGGTATGTTCCTTGTTCCTCGCCAGAAGTACCACAGTAATAGTTGGTTCTTTCATTTCATTTTGATTTACTGCTCCTTGAACTCTTATATCACTTGTGAGAAGAAATATGGCATATATGGCACGTAACAACGCTGAAAATTGTACCATTTTCAACTTTAGGGGTGGAGAGCGCGGCACCAATCCACCACCCTCAATGTAAACAAAAGGAGTTAGTGGTATAGGCACAGCAGCCTGTCATATCATCAGCCTCAGCGCTGCCAACCCCACCCGGCTACACACACACACACACAGCCACTTATCATATTCGTTGCAGTGTTCTCTATTCAGATATATGCCTTGAGATATGCTACTAATTTTCACTTATTGTATTATCTATTCGTTTTTAAACTGTTCTCCAGAGTTATTACACATTTATCTCTTACAATTTTAGATTAATGTAAAAATGTGACTGAACAGATCCACTATAAAACTACAGTATTTACAACACAGAATTTTATTTTACATAATTTAATTAGATATAATCAAACAATTATTGGTGGATGTTGGAGAAAAAGAAAGATTACTTGTTTTTTAACAAAAAAGTAAAATGCCTTATTCTACATGAAATTCAATATTCATATATTGCTTTTGGTTAAATTATCACCCAGATAAACTAGAAACAACTAGTAACAAAATAATAAAGTTTATGGCGGGCAAATGTGGCAACACAAGAAGACGATTAGGTAAGTGCCATGTGGGCAGTCTCTGACACAAGTCAGTGCCTGACTCAAGAGGTGCCGCTAATGTTCAAGGCGAGTTAACCATTATTTTTTGTTATACTAAGTACTAAGTTGCCCTTAAGAAAATATGAAGCCTCTTGACCCACACTGTAAGTAGAAAAAAAAACGTGTGGAGGATAAAAACACTGCCTTAAGTTATAAGTTCTGCATAGGATGGTATTATGCAATGGTGTCACTTGAACCTGTTGCTAAGAGAATACAGTTTACTGAATAGTATATCCATAATGAAGACATCCTTTGCTTGTGGACGGCCTTTTGTTAGAGAATTTGCATTCATGGTATCATATATAAACCCTATAAGAAATGCAAGTGAAATACCACTACTTGCCTGAAAGAGTATGAGTGAGGCGTGATGACAAGTGCAGACTTCAAAAAATACCTTTGTGACGGTGATGTAATATTTTTTTACGACTCTAGACTAGACTGTAATTACTAATAATGTTAGACTTAGATCACCTAAACTATAAATGTGTCAAATTAGGAGTGTTGTTGCAAACTGTGTAAAACTCGCAGCTAACATACTCTTCAACACTCTTGCCTCGATTACCACAGGGGAGGGGGGAACTGATTATAATGTCATGCTCTTCAAGAGCGAGGTGCTTTCCTGTTTGGAGTATTATTACCCCGCCTGGTCCCTGAGATAAGCTAGAGACTGTCAGTTGATTGAAAACGTCCAAACAGGGTCACATGTCAGACTCATGCCTGCACTACTTACGGCGCCTCAGGTACCCAGACAAGTTAGAACGCCTGCAATTGCCCAGTTTATAATTTAGGGAGAGAAGGAATAGCTTACACAAGTTCATAAACATCTCAGACGGCAATACTCGGTCGAGTGTTCATACCTGGAGTTGACGGATGCCCTCCCCACTAAAGGGTCACGCCTGAAGGTTGAAGAAACCACAATTTCAGAAAGCTGCAAAGACAACCTTTTTGGGAGTGAAAGTTGTGAATCCTTGGAACAATTTACCAAAAAGCGTTGTGACGCCACCGAGTGTGAGACCACAAAGGTGCAAGTACAGATACATTATGGAGCCAGTACTGCAGCCAACAGCGGGTAACAGTATCGTAACAGATCGCCCAAGCCGATCAGTGACTAAGTTTTCCACCATTGGTTATATATACTGTATATGCAAGTAAATCACTGTAGGTGCGCGTGATCTAGGTATATGCTGATAGTTGGTGATAGTACAGACTGAGTCTGTACTACTATATATATATATATATATATATATATATATATATATATATATATATATATATATATATATATATATATATATAAGATGTCTTGAATAAAAGAAGCTAAGGTACTCCGTTGTTTCCATTTTCCCTGTGATTTTATCAAGATTTATCTTATCCATGTTTTCATTGTGGATTTTCATGAAATATATATATATATATATATATATATATATATATATATATATATATATATATATATATATACATATATATATAATATACATATATATATATATATATATATATATATACATATATATAATATACATATATATATATATATATATATATATATATATATATATATATATATATATATATATATATATATATATATATATATATATATATATTTTTTTTTTTTTTTCCATAGCGGGAAGTGTATTGTAGTGGATACTCTCCCCTACAACTGCCGACTGATCACCTACCGTTCGCTTACCAGCCAATCAGCTTACAGGTAGTGAAGCACCCCAAGTTCCAAGTTTAGAAGCTCCTAACCTTTACCTTCCTCCTACACCGTCTTCCACCTTCCTGAGCCAATGGCTCTCTTCTCTCCATCCCGTCGTCATCGTCGGAGCTCATTCTACTCTACTCTCCAGCACCAGCAAGACCTCCCAACAAGCGCCTTACCAACCAGCTCCCTCAGCAAGCTCCTCACCCAACAGGACCTCTGGGCAAGTTTCTCACCACACAGTAACTCCTTTGCACTGCACACTGTACATACAATATATATATATACAGAAAACGCATTGTGGGTTTCTATTCTTACCTCCATCCTAAGTGTGAGATATCTTACATGTACGTACGTATGTGAGCCCATACAAAGAGAAATAGACAAGCAAAGAGAAATTGACAGCTGGCCACATACAGTACGCTACAGTACGAACTGTGAAGACCTGCGGCAGCAAACAGGTGTGACGACAATTATAGGAAGGGTTATTGACTCTCCACATGTGTAACAACAATTATTAACAGCTGTACAGTTGTAGCAATTGTACATATTATTTCAAATATTTATATACAGCACTATATCTATGGTCCCCCCACTTTTGAATTACATACAGGGCCCCCAGAAGTATAAATGCGGCCCTGGGTAAAGCGCCTATAATAAGGACTGGAAATTTGCCAACGTCACCGCAGTATACAAGAATTGTAGGAAAAGTGCAGCAGAAAACTTTGGGTCGATGAGCTTCACATCACATCACATCCACTATAAAAATATTGTATTTACAACACAGAATTTTCTTTTACATAATTTCATTTAATATAATCAAACAATTATTGGTGGATGTTGGAGAAAAAGAAAGATTACTTGTTTTTTAACAAAAAAGTAAAATGCCTTATTCTACATGAAATTCAATATTCATATATTGCTTTTGGTTAAATTATCACCCAGATAAACTAGAAACAACTAGTAACAAAATAATAAAGTTTATGGCGGGCAAATGTGGCAACACAAGAAGACGATTAGGTAAGTGCCATGTGGGCAGTCTCTGACACAAGTCAGTGCCTGACTCAAGAGGTGCCGCTAATGTTCAAGGCGAGTTAACCATTATTTTTTGTTATACTAAGTACTAAGTTGCCCTTAAGAAAATATGAAGCCTCTTGACCCACACTGTAAGTAGAAAAAAAAACGTGTGGAGGATAAAAACACTGCCTTAAGTTATAAGTTCTGCATAGGATGAAATTATGCAATGGTGTCACTTGAACCTGTTGCTAAGAGAATACAGTTTACTGAATAGTATATCCATAATGAAGACATCCTTTGCTTGTGGACGGCCTTTTGTTAGAGAATTTGCATTCATGGTATCATATATAAACCCTATAAGAAATGCAAGTGAAATACCACTACTTGCCTGAAAGAGTATGAGTGAGGCGTGATGACAAGTGCAGACTTCAAAAAATACCTTTGTGACGGTGATGTAATATTTTTTTACGACTCTAGACTAGACTGTAATTACTAATAATGTTAGACTTAGATCACCTAAACTATAAATGTGTCAAATTAGGAGTGTTGTTGCAAACTGTGTAAAACTCGCAGCTAATATACTCTTCAACACTCTTGCCTCGATTACCACAGGGGAGGGGGGAACTGATTACAATGTCATGCTCTTCAAGAGCGAGGTGCTTTCCTGTTTGGAGTACTATTACCCCGCCTGGTCCCTGTGATAAGCTAGAGACTGTCAGTTGATTGAAAACGTCCAAAAAGGGTCACATGTCAGACTCATGCCTGTGATAACCGTGGTAACATTCTGATATGTTCTTATTACCACTATGCTATGTGTACTATTCCAGATGATACTAAATGTTACATAATACTTCTCTGAGATAAATAACCTTATGAACAACCTCTAACCTCTACAGGTCACTGAATAATGATTGTTCATAATTATACATCCATGGTTGTAAGTTATTAACTACTTACCCTAAATTCTACAGTATGTAAATTATACTGGTTTTACACACACACACACACACACACACACACACACACACACACACACACACACACACACACATACACACACACACCACCATTTCCACAGTACTTAAAATTGTGCTAAATCATGCCTCAGGAATTAACATAATGTCGCTGTGTACAGAAATAAAACGGATGAACAAAAAGATAGGTGAACGGGGTCTCACTTAAGTTCCGTTCTGATTTCACAAATGGCGAAATATAATTAAAAAAGCTGATAAATTTATGAATGAATTAAATCCTCGACGACAAACAACCTCAGCTTATGAAACACCACTGTTTCCTGACGCATAGGAAGGAGCAAGGGTTGTGTGGTGAGGGGTGCTTGGTGAGGGTGTGTGGTGAGTACACTATCTACTTCTAACTATACCACAATACACTACGCAATCTACTCACCGCAGCAATACAGTACACTATCTACACCACAATACAGTCTACACTTATACACTATACACAACACCCTAATATATTGTAAACATGGCCCCTTCCAATGTATACAGCTATATCGCGCCATAACTACAGATAACAAACTGAACTATAGATAACAAACTGAACTATAGATAACAATCTGAACTATAGATAACAAACTGAGAGACTATTATCTAACATCTTGTGGGTCGGGTTGTGTAGTGTCTCGGTAATAAAGCGTGTTCCGCATTCGGGCCTTCGTTGCTGAACGGCAGAAATTGGACAGAGATTACATAAATCAAGATCGTCATAGTGATGTGAAAGTGTAAATCGATGTA